ACTAGTCGGCACGGTGTTTCAGCTGAACACGCTGATCTGTCACCAGGATTCGAGCATGACCATCTCGAAGCGCGTCGTACGCGATCCTAGGCGATCGTGACAAAATCGCGCGAGATTAACGAACGACAGGGGAGTGAAATTCAAGTTTGGTCGATGGAACAGAGGAACGGAAAGGAAGGATGCGACGAAACGTAATCGGCCGATAGATGCCAAATACGAGCTTACCCGTTGAATAAGCTCGCACACAAAGATACATACGCATGTTGGTTGGAACGCGAATGGGACAAGATAACGCGTGGTGGGTGTCACGCTACGACTACGCGCTCTACAACTTCCTTCCTGATTCTCTATTCTTATCTTGCTCCTTCCGATCTAGCTATTCCTAGATAGAATTGCATAGACGTGGAAGAAACTAATTCAAAGTCGATCGTGTCGCCGTAAATTGCGTCCATAAATCTATAAATAATATCGCGATGATCGAAGTAATAATGCACGCAATCTTGTTTTCCACGTGTTTTGCTTTTCCCGGGGTACTTTTTGCGCTAATAAGTCAAACAGTGACACATCATCGTACGCGGTGACTCCTCGCGTTGTGGAAATTTCCATTCGCGAAAACCATTGGCGTAGCCAGACGCGCGTTCCACGAGTACCTTACCTTCGGCTTGCACTTTGCCCATGTTCCCATATTTCGACACATCCGAGAACGTCCATCGCACGATCATCCGTACATATCTACGTATTTCCGGATGCATTCAATTCCTATGCTTTCGATGAGCGAAAACCTGTTTTTTCCTTTCTGACAAACGTGTAACGCGCGTTCTTAACTATTCTTACGGTTTCATTGCGCATAAATCTGAATCGTGCATCGTCATCGTCGTTCGTTATTTAACGGTTTTCTCGAGAATAGCATCGATTGAATCACGTATTGACAAATCATGAAATTCTTTCCTGATCGATGCAATCTGTTTCCCTCGTTTCTACATCGAAGCTAACCGCGAGAAGTACGCGCGTATCTCGTAACATCGCGTTTCCGATAACTTCGACGTATCGAATAAAAAAGTCTTCGATCACAATCATTCCGATAAGCATTTTTAACCGGAGTCTTTTAAATCGGATAAAAAAATTGATTCTAAAACTTCACCGAACAATCGACGAACACCTGCTGATCATGATTATCCGTAAATTTTTATTACGCAATGTCGATCACCCGTTATCTCATTTAAAATTCTCGATAAGATGTTAAGCTGTAACAATTTCGCAATGCAAATACCTTCAAAGTTTTCGAAATACGATTCCAATAGTTGCGATGACGTTAGCGATCGTGGCACAAATACATCATCGATACCATTATCTCTTTTATTCGTTTTTTCGAACTATCGTAAATCGTGGAAACAACGCGAATCCAGCGCGATGACTCGGGGAATGTTCTGGAAGGTGTGCGGCTGAGGTGTTCGTTTCACCAACCATTCGTTTTCGCGTGCCGTTCGGTAATCGATCATACCCCGTTACATTGTACATGGACGTTTTTGAAAATTCCAGATGTATCCGAATCGATAGAAGAATAATTCGAATCCAACGACCCGATGTCCTATTTTTTGTATCGATTGAACTAAAAATTTTCCAACGACAAAATATCTATGATATCGTTGTACAGCTGATATAAACGTAAATATTGGTTTTCATTGCGATGTTTATAGATACCGCAAGAGTGTTTATAACGTGCATTTATATGGTGTAACGAACCTACCAAGATATCGTTCCCATTTCGACTTATCGCCCACAGTTAAGACGATATGTCGATTACTTTATCGACTAAGCGATATTTATTTGTCCCATTATGGCACATACGTTACAGCCGAATGGTAGAAAAACGTCTAAGCAAAGTTAGTACCATCTGGCAGGAACCTTCGTTCCGCAAGCTTCGATTAAAACCGTTTACTTAATCGCGAGACTTATCTGCAACATCGATTTTGAGACACCGTCGTCCGAGCATTTCGTATAATTCTGAAACTCGATACTCGATATTTCGCAAGACTCGAAGGTATTACACGAATCATGCACGGTTCTTATGAAAATTCTTAAAGTCATAGCTAAAGAATGCTATATAATTACGAATCATAATAACCCCCCTTCCTAACTCGAATATCAAATTCTATTTTTGATGCGTCATCGTCGATTTAAGTAATCACGCGTTGTCACTGCGAAAAATTCACGCGTGACTCACTGCGAAATAATTATTTTAGGCTAATAATCATTAGCCGCTACGGAATCATCCTTGGAAGAAAAGTTTTGGAAAACATTAAGAAACACCGTGACGATACTTTAAAACTCATTTATTGAACATGACATAAAAATCACGATATATGATAATGATGAACCGAGTCTATTGTAAGCTTTCAAACTTTAGATATATTTGTTACCTCCGCGTGTAATATCTTACTCGAATATCTTAACAAACGCTAACGGTTCCATTATTTTATACAAGTATGTATAATTATATCCATGGAATGTGCACCCGTCATCTCGCTTTCTTTTCGATTTTGTACGTTCACGTACTTACATACGTTCAGAAACAGAAATACAACGCGTTAAAAAAAAAAAAAAAAAATAAAAATAAAAAAATAATAAAATAGAAAAAGGTTTCGAATGTTCGCTGCGTATAGTATATATTCTTTTCTTTTTTTCGTTCCTTCTTCTTTGCGATTCTTAAATTTTAGGAAATTAAAACGCAAAAACTCGACGATCGTTTACTCGGTATTTCATTGCCGATAAAGTTTCAAGGATGGAGAAAAGCGAGTGTTACGGGTTTCTCAACAACGAAAGCTATTATTTGTATAAGAAAAAAAAGGGGAGGGGGGAGAAAAAAGAAAGAAAAACAAGAAGAAAGAGATGTAAATAAATAGGTAACGTTAAATCGGAAAAGAATGGGAGGATGATAAAGATTTGCGGTAGCAGAGAATGGACAGGTTGCCAGGAGATAAAGCAACAGTCGTTCGTTGAGTCTAATAACCATATAGTATGCTATATTTTTATGCGATGGAGATTTTGGCAGTGACATTCAATCGTCATGGTTGAGGAGAAAGTCCTTGAACGATTACCGATACTATTACGATATACGTGTATCGAAGAACAAAATGGTTTCGAATCGTGGAAGCGACGATCTCATTTTTTTCTATACCGCAAAAGTATTGCACAAAATATGAAACGACGGGCACATCTTACCGTTAATTACAATGCGAAAGCGTTAATCAGGCCGTTCGACAAATACGTTCCACTACGCGAAGCAGCTGACCCGCGCATTCTAGAATGCGAATGCGACACGGAAAAATTAGTAACCGAAAAATCGACACAGATATCGATCCTGTTTTATTCAAACGGAAACTATCAATTTGTACTTTTATACGAAGTGGTTTTATTAACTTTTCCCAATGACTCGTAGCTCCCGTATCTCCTCAGCCACGCGCTAAAAATCAGCTCAAAATGTCCCGAGTGTATGTATACGTATGTACATATCCGTATATATAAATATATGAATATATATATTTATATAGCTTTATAGTTGCGCGAACATTGCGACCGTAGAATGAAAGTGGATCGAGCTGAAAAAGATAAAATATAAAATATAAAATATCTACTACTAAATGTCTTATAAATTGAATGAAAAAATAACGAACATTCTGCGAACGTTTTTAACCAACGCGAAAAATATGAGATATAAAAAGATGAAAAGGTTAAGGATCCCAATCCACGTTTACTCCGCAGTCCGAGGCCGCCGTAATAAATAGATCGTATTATCTCGTCAATCTCTAAACTCTAATAACACCATTGTTTCTAATCAGTACAAATCAACCAACGAAACGTTGGGACGAAATTTCGCCGAGGTTCGAGTAAACACGTTCACGATCCTCCGTGCGTCCCAACCTTTCGCCAAGCACCACGTTTTAACATCCAATCGGTAGTTCTATTGTTTTTCTGTTTCTCTAAAGCAGTCTTACATATAACGGCAACTTTTGCGAATTAGTCCTCTCTTATTTTTATCCGACCCGATCTTGTACCTATACTTTCGTTCTTTCCTTCTTTCCTTCTTTCCTTCTTCGTTCTTTCCTTCTTCGGTCTTTGCTCCGAAGAGACAGAGGACGAACGGACGCGTCTTTGAAATATTATCTCAACATCGACCATATACTATAATTTATATATATCTCGTATTCGGTTTCGTGATTTTCCAACATTTCACGTGGAATAAGATAAAAGAAAGAAATTTTATATATCTATGTATCTCGAACAGAAGCTGAAGCCAATTGTTCGACCGAAAATGAAAGAAAAATCGTTCGATCCTTTGCTCTCGTTCGGTTGAACGTAGCTGAACGAAGAAAGAACTCGTGTCGCTCTCGCTGCCAAAAGACGCGCACTGATTGACGGAGAATCGAAGCGTTCGTACGAATTTTCGTAGTAACAATAACATTTCCCCAACTCCTTCTTTCATTTTTTTTTGTTCTTTTTCTTTTATATGATCGTTGCAAAATAATTCTACCTTATAGCTTACGGTATCACAGAGTTACACGCGGTATCGTATAATTGCTCCCACTTCGTAATTTCGCAAAACGATAAGGAAAGCGCGTAATCGTCTTATTCCAAAAATTCAGAACGGCAATAGATGGACGCAGACGATGTCATCGTATTACACTTGCTCCAAGAGACACGGACCTTTTTTTAATCTTACGCGTGATTTAATACTGTCGGATTAAAACGATATCCTGTCGTAACTTTGCCGAGAACAATCGAATTACGCGTAATTTTGCCAAAATTCTCGTTGGAAAAATAATAACGCGAACGATGAGAAGAAACTGTACGGAATCATTCTACTCTTTGGCTTTCGACCCTTTCCTTTTTATCGGAAGATAAAATTATATATGAAAGAACGTACAAAGAAAAAATGTACATATAATGAGAAAAAAAAAGAAAAAAAAAAGAAAAAAAAAAAAAACAAAAGAAAACGAGGGGAAGAATAGAAAATGAAACGCGTTAACTTTTCAATCGTAAAATTGCACGTAAGGTATCTCTGTGATTTCATTCGATGTCTCCGAAAGACGTCGTTCTGCGTCCAATTTCCGAGGACACTTTCGTTTTCACTTTCCCAGGATTATGTGAAAAAGATTGCTCTATGTATAACGGATAACAGACTTGACCGCTTATCACGACGGAAGTAATATATTATACTCTAAAAGAATTTAACAAACGCTTCGTAACGGCTAATCAAAACAGCAAAATCGAATACCTCGGGCGCGGGACAGAGGAAAAACGCTATGATACATTTCGATATAAACTGCGAGGATCGTTTCTTTAAAAAAGTATCTTTTACGCGATATCATCTAGCAAATGTGTCTCGTGTGCACTGCGAATACATTTACTTCGAAACGATAGCCGTGAAAAAATCACGAAACACGAACAGGACAAAATTTAGAGCGAAACGAACGTTTGGCGTAATTTGATGAACATCGAGAAACGATATACGCGTATATATTTTACCATCTAAAACAAGATATATGTATGTATATATGCGCGCGCGCGTGTGTGTATGCGTGTAGAAAGAAAAAATTCGTCCCTGTGCGACAAAACATGCGCATAACAATCCTCGCGCGAGAATGAAGAAGCGTAATATTACGCTCGCGTATCGTTTCGAAAACGTGTATTTGCTAGTACAGTATCCAATATTACGCGAGACAAGATGTAACGAAAATTTGAAATAAATATTTACGCGTGTAAGTAAGTACAGATAATCTCGCTCGAACGATACACGATTAAAATAAGTGTAAGTCTTTTCTTAGGCTCCGTTCTTTCACTAGCTCGTCTATATTGTACGTAATACGCATTCGCGCCCTCGTGTATCCCTTCGCAGTTTTCGCGCAAACGCACGCATATTTCCTTTGGAGGCAGCAAGTAATCTTAACGATGAAAACAAGCGTTTCCGGTTGTCGTATGCGAGAAGAACCTTTACAGGAACTCCCTTGATTTCGACGCGAGTTACGCCTCGTTTAGTCACCCCATTTTTCTGCTCGTCCTAATGTTCCAAAAACATATTTACCATGGTTACATTTGATCGGCTACACGCTAAACGAATAATGAAAATATACCGTATAAGGATCTCGTAACGTCGACTGCGAGAAAACTCGAACGGAAGGGAAACTCTACGCGACGTTTCCGATCGAAAAAGATGAAACTCGGAGGTGGAAAAAAAAAAGAAAAAAAGCGTGGGGGCGGGGTGGTGGAGGAAAAAAATAAAGACGAAAGAAAATCCGATCAATTTTTGTCATTCTAGCGCTCGAATTCGTGGAAACGGCGAAAAGTGTAGGCGATGCGACGCTTCAACGATAGCCACACGCTGAGATTTTATGCGCGCGATAATATTATAACGAAGGAACTAGAGCTTTTAGGTCTGGACACTGAGATCCTCTATGATCCTCTCTATATCGACCCCGACTGGCCACGAACCATACACGATTATCGCGTGTGAAACGAACGCGAAAAGAACGCGAAATGAACGCAGTCCAACGTACGCGCGCCAGCATCGATAACGACGAATTCCATCGTGATTATGTACCTCTTTCGTTGGATCCTTCTCTCTCGTCTCTCGTTCCCGATGTTCGTTGTCCATTGCTCTCTTCTCTCTCTCTCTCTCTCTCTCTCTCACTCTCTCTCTCTCGCCGACTGAGCTTCCGCGTAAACTGGACGGAGGCTCACGGTCTTCCTATTCGTTTACCGATCTTCGTTTCGCTTTCTTCTTCATCATCTTCGTCTCTTTCTCTCTTTCCTTTCCTCTCTCTCTCTTTCTCTCTGTTTCGATCTCTTCGTCACCCTAAACAGATTCTGAGAGTTATCCGCGAAAAAAGGCTTTGGTTCTCGATTCTCGCGAATGACTCGGGTGGTGTTTGCCGAATGGGTGGTGAGATCAATGGGTATTGAAAAAGGAGAAACAGAAATCGTGTTTGAGATGGTCGGTGTTCGTGACTGGTTTTCCGGCATCTTTGTTGCAACGATCCAACGGGGAAATCAAAGAGAAAGGGAAAAGAAAAAAAGAAAATAGATCTGGCTGGATTCGCGAAAGAAACGTAGAAGAGAAGTTGGCAACCTACAGGTAGCAGAGATTCGACTGTCGGGTAACAACACGTCGGCCATTTGTCCGTTCTTCTCTAGTCGAATCAAAAGCTTCTGGCTATCTTCCGAATCTTTTCGTTCCAGCGGAATTCCCTCGGCTCCATCGCGTCGCGCGTTTCCGAACACGTCGGTTGTTATACACGCGAGAATCGATCATTATCGTTGCCATCGGCCAACGAATCGCGGGAGACTCCTCGCGCGTTTCTCCTCGCCATTCGTCCGATCCTGTCTCCCCGTATAGCCGTGCTCGTTGTCCTCGTCGTTATCTTGGTTCTGCCTTACCATGCCGAAGGCGACGGATCCGGACAGGATCGTACCACCCCCTCGTGGATCGTCGCGGACGCGGTAACGGGTGCAGAAGTGCGTCGGATCTCGATCGGTTTCGAGCCGGGAATCGGTGGCCGGCCCAAAACCCCTGCACTGTTTCACGACAAATTTCGCTGATCTTCCGCCGTGTCCTCAGCCTTCTTCAACGACCTTTTCAACTTGTCCACCAGTCGGTTGTGAAACTTGTTCAGGGAATTGGAGCTGCCCGTTTTCGGCGGGGACGAGCCGGTACTCTTGCTCGGGCTTTGCAACGAGTTCTGTGACGCCCTCGAGGACGTCCTCGAGAAATGGCGGGAGGTGAGGGGTACCGAACGGTGAGCCGGCGACGTCAAAAAGTCCGACCCCGGCGAGGTAGACAACGACGGACCCTCGGATTTTGAACATTCCGACACCTGCGAACAGAACAGATCCGTCTTTCGGTTTAGCATTAGCGAGTATCCTCCTAACACCCGTTCCAATAATCATCCTCGTTTCCCCGATAGAGCGTGTCCTTTCGAAACGCGGGCCCCGACTACTTTCACTTCGGTCTCGTCTTCTCTGCCCGATTCCGAACGGTTCGCCACGGATTAATCCTTTCGTCCTATTTCCCAATTTTCTCTTCGTGCCTTACGCTCGAACAAAAACTTCCACCGGCCGGGAAAACTCTGGATTTTCCGGTGCCTGTGACCGGGGGTTACGGGATTATCCGTGCGCGCTTCGAACGAAAATTCCAAGACGAAAACCGTGAATTTCCGGGAATAGGATGGCTAGGTAGGCACATAGGTAGGTAGGTAGGTAGACACGTAGGCAGACACGTAGGTAGGCTGAAGTGGAAGCGGCAACACGTGCCGAGTTGGTCTCCGTGCTGCTGGCCGTAACACGACGAAAGATTAACGATCGGATCCGAAACGCGACGTATTCCGTGGGGTGAATTTACCGGCGCGTTGCAGACAAGGCCGGATGATACTCTCGATGCAGCGCGTTACGATCGAGCGCAGTGGTTCGCAATCGAATACGGCATCCAGTAATCCAACCTCTCTGTATATGGGTGAGCACGTGCGCCGCAACCTCGGACACGGCGAATTTCTCGCCGCAAATTCTCTTCCTTTGGTTACGTGCGATTACGTAATCTCCCGTCACGGGTAACCGCCGCGATGCGCTATTCCCACCGAACCACGTTATCGCCGTTCTTCCATCTCGCGTTTTCCCCAATTCTTCCAACATACCACGCGTATCCATTGCGAGCCTTTCACGCGGTAAGGGACACATCACCGTTTCGACTATTCACTCGTTAATTATCGATTAGCGCGGTTCGCGTTATTCGCGCGATTTACCACGCGTTTCGCGTTCCTCGAAATTTGCCCTAACCAACGATACGCCGCTCGCGATTCGAAACGCCACGCGTGTTTATCCACCAGAGAATCTCGCACACGACGAATCGCTGCATCGATGATACACGCAGGATCGATCGCAGAAAAGTATTCAAACGCATATACGCGTAACGTCCAAATTTCGCAACGATTCGATAAAAGTGTCGTTTTCCGCTAATGTAACGACGACGCGCGTGGAACGAGATCAGAAGCGATACGTAACGATCGATTTCAGAGGTCGCATCCGGTTCGGAAGTATGTCCAACGACGTTATCGATAACATCGCGACGCGATGAGATCGAAACGATACGTGTACGCCCGGAAAGATTATCGCGCGCGCGATGCATTACGAAATCGAGCATGGACGTTGCGCAATCGTGCGCCACCACATCGAGGTAGAGGTATGCCCGCGAATCTCGTCGAGAACCGTCGGGGAGGAAAAGAAAGAGAAAAAGAAAAAATATAAAGAAACGCGACGTTGGGTTTTCTCTGGAAGAATCGCACGCTGGCGACGCGTTTTCCGCTCTGTTTTTTTTTCGCCATCGATACCGGACCATGGACAAGGTTTATCTCATAACCTCGTCGCGTACGTGCCGCGATTAGCGCCGCGCTCTTTCGTCAGACCACTTTCGTCGCGCGTAATTATCGACGTTTCTCGGATGACCGTGAAATTATTTGCGATCGACGCGAGCTCGATCCTGTATGTACACACACGTGTGTATATGGAGCATTCGAGAAACATTCGAGATCTCGATTCGTACACAGTCGTATCGTGCGCTCTTAGGTCACGGCGTTCACTTACGACGTTTCGACGACGGGACGACGCGACGCGTCACAGTCCGACGAAAATTTCCAAATAAACCGAATCACGGCACGCTGTTTGTGGAACGACGCGAATTACATTAACCGAGACGTTGGAATGTCGAACAGATCGAACGGAAACTCGTCGCGTAGAGAATAGAATAGGATTGAGTCGAATCGCGTGGAAACGAATGGAATGAAATGGAATGGAATGGAATGGAATGGAATGGAATGGAACGGAATGGAAGGAATCGCGCGAAAACGTAATGACCTATCGCAGCGCGTGATTCGTCGGTTGGATGTCGCGTTGCTGGGTTTCAGGCGGGTTCGTAACGGGCAAAACACTCACCTTCCTACTGCGACAGGCCTGAGGATTGGAACACTCGGAGGATCGTCGACTGCGGTTGGTCTTGTAAATGTCCCACTCGTTTTTCATAACGGGCATCATAAACGCCATCTCGATAGCCGGCACTCGTGAGATACTTTTTCCCTCTATCCCACCGGTGAGTCGCTTTCCTTTTCTCTCACCTAGCCTCTAATCTAGTAGCTGTCTTTGTCCCGCTTGCTCCCTCTATCCGCTCTCTCTCTCTCTCGCTCTCTATCTCTGGAAAGTTCAAACCGGACGAGGACGACGACGAGGGTTCCTGGTTTCGGCAAACGTGGAAAATTTTTCCAAAAGAATTTCGTCGAACCACTCCGCGCTCTCGCTTCACCGAATACGAAACCGTTTATACCTCGCTAGCGGGAATTTACGAGTCGATCGGCGCGTATAAAACGTTTCGTCCTGTCAACGAAAACCGATCGCGAATCGAACCGATTCGAGTGATATCGTGCGTCCGTTTCGATCGGTTTTTCCGATTCGTATCGACGTTGTTAACGATAACAACGACGTGTCACTGCTGATGTTGTCGCCGTTGGAGTTGTCGGTGTCGCTGCCAGCCAGTCGTCGCAGTCGCTGTTGCTGCTGTGTCGACTGGAAAACTGCATACGCGTCGTGCGCTTTCACGGATAGCTCTGGTCGTTTTTTACGGTAGCTCGGCGTGCTGCCTTTTCAACAACGTTCTCGATCACGCGCGTCCGGTCGATGCAGCAGTCCGCTACGGAATGAGCACGCCGATGCTCGTGTAGGTAGATGTAAAACGTCGCGACGGTGGGGACGAGCGAGCCAGCCTATTGGTTCATTCTGAGGCGGGACTCCTACGTCACGGGTTACCATTGATTTTCCAATGTTGATACACACGACGGCATGACGTTCGGGATTGATTTTCTGGCGGCGGTTCCTGCTGGATCGCACGTATACGTTGCCCTGGCCGTATATACGTCAACGTATGCCTCCTTCCCTTTCGAAAGGATCCGCGCTCTACGACCTAACGAGCATCGACTTCCTTCCCGGCCCTTTCCGCGTCTTCCTAGTCCCTCGCCCCTCCGCCCGACCCTCAGCCGCTGCATCCGTTCTTCCTCCCAAAGATACGTTTTCTTCCGGTCTCTCAAGGTCATCGTGACGATTCGCATCGTCCCTTCCGAAATCCGGTTACCGAATAGAATTGTACGTGCGATGCACGTTCGCACGGTCAGCTCGGCACTCGCGATATAATTAGGAATCGCCAGCTCCTATTCTCGGGCTATTGTTCCGCTCGAAACACTTCCGATCCGATACGGAATATTGCGCGTCGATGCTCGCGAACCTTGAGAAGTATAATTTTGTCGCGCTGCCGAAGCGACCAAGCGTCGGAGCGACCTACGGAGAAATCACTGCTAACCGTTTAACGCCACGGCGCTCCAAGGATCATCGTAATCAGATACCTGAAACGGATCGCGCGGAACACGATAAGTCGAAGACCGTTTCTACTCGAATCTCGATAATTTTTCATCGATCGTCGCGACGATACTCGACGAATATCTCGAGCGTTTCAACCGTGACAGCGAATTTCGCGGCGATAAAACGAGTTTCTAATTGGTACTATACCGGCAACTGGTAACCGGTGTACGTATCCGCGGACGATTCTTTATTACCGACGAACGATTGCCACACACGGCGACGATAACGGCGTCGGTAAATTATCGAACGCTTCGGAACCGAGTAGTTCCGTTTCTCTTCGTCCCGATTCCAACGCTACTTGGACGATTTCGATAATTTCAACGAAGGGGAAACCCCGAGAGAAACGTAGTCCCCGCTATCGAGCATAATCTAATCTCGCGATGTATTTTCGTTTGCGCGGTGTTATCTCCGAACCGGATAAAAAACGAAATTTTTACGTTTTTGGAAACCCGAGCATATCGGAAGGGTTAAATGCGACGCAGAGGTAAAATGATCGTACGCCGTTGCTTTCGTAAAAATTAAATTTATTTTGCTTGCAAAGGTACAGGTCTTATGTGAAATAAACGCAATTCGTTTGTCTCGCGCGGTACGCTATCGTTGAGTGATCGAAAAGAAAATTATAGGCACGCAACGTAGTCGAAAACTATGCTCTATTTTCATTTCGCCTAACGTTTCGTAAATTCTTCTTTCTCCTCCCTTAACTGTAAGTACTTATGTAGTTTCGCGTTCGTGCTTCGGACAATAAAGGAACTGTAAAACCTGACTTAGTTTCAACTTAATCGTCGATACTATGATAACGATACTACGATAGAATCGAGCTGCTATTCTCTATTAATCGTTTGCAAATTCGTCGAGTGACGTCGCGTTTCAAAGCTCTCGAGATACTCGCAGAATTTGCACCATCTTGTACTCGCAGTTATACGTACATATATAGCGTTAACGCGACCAGACCTTCGGAAGCTCTGAGATAAGTTGCATTTTTTCTTACAAAGTACTCGAAAAGTAAGCGAATTTGATATTACGATAAAATAGCTTTTTTTCTCCCCTCTTTTTCTTCGTATGCGTATGATAAGAGAAGCATTTGCCAACGTTGCGTTTTACACGAC